AATAATTGTTCTTCTTTGATTCAATGGATAAAATGCTAAGATGTATTAGTTATCCGATTATCGGAATTAACATATTTTAATACTTTCAATAAAATAAATAGAGGTCGATAGTTGTCTATCGATTAAAAATTCTTTTCGGAGGTGTTTACCACGGTCCCTATGCGAATAGATATCTGTCATGTCGCAAAAGTGCTTTTATTATCGTTTATTGTACTTAAAGAAACAAACAGAAAATTGAATACCTGGCTTGTGACAAAAGAAGAAGAAGAAGAAAAAAAAACTTAAAGAAGTAAGAATTATATTTCAATATACATTTCCTTTTTTTTCCTCTACTATTTACTAAACATAAAAGTTCAGAAGGTCTTATTTCTTCATATCAAAAAATGACTACTAATATCTTTCCAAGGTTACATCATAGTAATTATTCATCTTTTTTTTTCTCGATGTTGTTTTTTCTTTTGTTTGCAGAACAAATAGGACAGTAAGTGTTGAAAAGAAGAAATAACATTAATGTTGTTTGTCGTTAGACATCGCCACTTATTGTACAAAAGAAAATTTTCAGATCATTCATGTTGATCGCCATCAATGGCTCTTGCTTCATCACTTCATAGAATGTCAACTAGTTCCGGTTCTTCATCATCATCAAATACATTTCTTTTACCTACAACTGATTTAATTATATCTGATAATCAATTAATTGATATTCTTTTAAATGATCAAAATACAGAATATAAAATTCAAACAGTTAATCGTTGGTGTAAAAATACACGACGTAATCGTTTATCAACTATACTTGATGTTTCACAAAGACATGATGTATTATTATCTCTAATTAATATTCTTCAACAAACAACTAATTTAGAATATCAGTATAATTGTTTAACACTTTTATCGGAGATTCATATAAATATTCATCATTATGATCAACGAATTTATCTTCCAGGTTTGTTAAAATTCATATATATACATATTAATTTCTTATCTCTCTATCTCTGTAGCAATTATACAATGTTTTTCATCTACATCAAATGATGTACAATCATTAACCGTACAATTATTAACAAAACAAATACATTTAACATCGGATATTCGAACATTTTTATTTATTTATTTACAAGATGGTTTAAAATCTTCTAATATTCGAATACGTGTTATGGCTATTCAATCCTTAACCGAACTATTAAATACTATACATCAATATGAAAATCTTTCTCCAATATTCGAAGTTCTTCTACAAAATTTACAAGATAATACATTTCGTTCAACTTATAATACTATTCTTCTTAATTCTATTCAACATATTAAACAAATTATAGGTTTAGATTCAATTCATACTTATCTTGAAAATTATCTACCAATATTAAAACAAACATATTTTACATATGTACCACAAATAAATGAACAATCTCAAATTGTTCCTCTTGATACTGATTTAGATGATGATGATGATAGAACACCAAGAGCATCTCAAAATAATACGAGTCAATTAGATAATTCACATAATTTATTATCGAATCGAAAACCTCCATTACCAATAACAAATGATAATTTAGATTTTTATTCAATTATTGATTCATTACGTTCAAATTGGTCAGTAGCTGATGAAACAAATCGTTTAAATTATCTTGAACATTTTAAACAATCATGTGAAAAGTATTTACAAAAAATTCGTACACAATATTTATCACCATCACATGAATTAGAATTTCATCAAGTATTACATACATTTCTAACATCTATACTTGATCTTTTATCTTATTTAACATCATCAAATCTTGATATATCAATTAAAATTAAACTTGTTCTATCAACATGTCTTGGTTGGCTTATTAAACATGCTCAAGTTATTTATTGTAAAAGAAATTTTAAAACAATTTGTACAGTTTTTAAAAATATTCTTCGTAATGGACAATCGAATAATCGACAATTAGCAGTAGGTTTCATTTTTCTTATTATTTTATTCAGTTGCAAAAAAATAACTTGATTATATTCAGTTTTTACAAGGTTATGATATTTTAACATTTCTTTTTTCAAGGACAGGAGAGAGAAACCATTTAAATGATCAATTGTCTATTACAAGAATAGTAATGTTTATTTTGTTTTTTTCTATAAATATCAAAAATAAACATTGAGTTATATTTTTCTAATAGAATTAATTTTAATTGTATCGTTTTTTTCTCTATTTCAATAGAAATTAAGTGTTAGTCTTATTCTTTTACTTGAAAATTTTGTTCAACCTCCTCTTATTCTCAATGAATTAATCGATGATAATTTTGAATCTTATAATTATCGTATACAACTTGAAATGCTTGCTATTGTTACAGCAACATTATTAAAATATCGTCAATATCAATATGAAAATTTACCAAAAATTTCTCCTTATTTTCTTCCATTATTAATATCTAATCGTCGTGAATTACGTCATGGAGCTATTGAATGTTTTACAGTTATTTGTAGTTATTATAATTCATATAATCCATTGACATTAGCAATATTCGAAACAAATCAACCGATAAAACATCTTTTAACATCAATTGAAATTTTATCAATAGATGCATTTAATGCATTACGTTTTCGTTTATTACGTAATGTACTTCCATCTTTAACTGGTAAAGGAAATATAACACCAGGTTTAGTATGTGATTCAAATACATTAAATGATCCGGATGCAAAATTTATTTTATTGGTTAATAATCCAACACCAACTCCACGAACTACAACAGCACCCATTATTGAATCATCATCATCATTAACAAAAATAACACCGACGAATAATAAATTACTTCAATTAGCTATGCCTTTTGCAGCATCAACAACAAAAACAATTACTAATGACACAGTAAGTTTTTTTTCTTCTTCTTCTCGCTGTCATGGTGTTTTTTCTCTTCTGATATCTGGATACTTTTAGTGATAATAAAAATAAGTGCAACAGTTCTCTTTTTTTTCTCATTAGTCAAATGCAGTTTTTATCATATTAGATTTATATTTTTCATATGACATATTATCATAAGTAGATTGAAAAGATTATAAATTATTTTTT